AATTGCTTACACTTATATAGCACTTTTCTGGACACTCCACTCAAAGCGCTTTACAGGTAATGGGGACTCCCCTCCACCACCACCAATTCATAGATGGGGATTATAAGAAGGCCATGTTTGGGGGAAATTTGGCCAGGACGCCAAGGTTACACCCCTACTCTTTTCAAAAAACGCCCTGGGATTTTTAATAACCACAGAGAGTCAGGACCTCGGTTTTACGTCTCATCCGAAGGACGGCGCCTGTTTACAGTATAGTGTTCCTGTCACTATACTGGGGCATTAGGACCCACATGGACTGCAGGGTGAGTGTCCCCTGCTGGCTCCACTAACACCTCTTCCAGCAGTGACCTTAGTTTTTCCCAGGAGTCTCTCATCCAGGTACTGACCAGGCTCACACTGGCTTAGCTTCAGTGGGTTGCCAGTTGTGAGTTGCAGGGTGATATGGCTGCTGACCGTGATATGGCTGCTGGCCATAAATTGGGATATATTACTTATGAAATGTAGTAGTTAAAAGGCAGCAGGCTCTGATATTATAAGGTATTGAAAACAGTTTAGCATTTCAAATTAATCCTGTTGTGTCACTTACGAGTTCAGTTATGTAGCTGAGAGCTCATCTGAAACAAAAACCAGCAGGTACTGTAGGTGTGTTACTTCTGTAGAGCTGGGAACTTGTATTCTAAAATACTGGTTAAAACACTCTGAAAAACATGGAATAAATAGATTTTTCAGGTCTTATTTATTTTTAAATGCAACATGTGCTATTCTAAATGTACTAATGTTAGTCCTAGAAAGTGGCCAGTAGTCTGCAAAGAACTGGAAGTATTTTCTAACTTATTGGACTGATTTGGCCCAGATGAAGCCAGTTGATAGCAAAAAGCCTATATATAGCATCAGCAATCATAATCTTTCTGTAGATGTTTCTGAAGATTATAATACAAAAACAATATGCTGTGAAGATAATGGAGAAGATGGATGCTTACCATCCATTCTTCAGAACATTAATGAGGGAAAATGAAGTGCTGTGAGAACAATCCATGTTTTGTACATTGTAAAAAAACAACTAGTGAATGAATGTGCTTTGCAATGTAATACAGTTGTTTAATAATAATAATAATAATTGCTTACACTTATATAGCGCTTTTTTGGACACTCCACTCAAAGCGCTTTACAGGTAATGGGGACTCCCCTCCACCACCACCAATGTGCAGCATCCACCTGTAAAGAATTCAGAAGAATGTTGTTATTTAAAAAAAATAGTATTACTTTTTGCACTGCAAAAATGTGAACAATTACACGTTGCTTTAATTTGATTAGACAGTAATTCTTAGTAACTATTCATCACTTCTGATGGAAATTTGGAAGATATGAATAATAGTACTGTAGACAACACTACAGGAATTACTAATTACTTTTGATACATCATAAATGTATGGTATCTTGTGTATTATAAGTGAGTAACCTTTATTAATCTTGCTTTATGGATGAGATTCTGATGTTTTGTTTTGTTTTTTAAATGTTTCACAACATATTCCCTGAAATTCCACTTTTGGAATTAATACATGGACTCAGAGAGGAATATAGTGGCTCCCCCTTGCTGTTATTAATCAGATCAAAACCAGCCTATACAGATACTCAAACAAGGCTTATTGATTGTCCATTTTTCTTTTCTGTTGTTTAGCAGGCATACTGTACATCTACAGTTGCGTGTAATTAAACTCAATAATTCCTTCTGTGCTTTAAAAACACCATTTTGTAGACCACTTGCCAATATTTCTGTTCATAATTAAAATGTTCAATTTATGACTCATCAGGAGGACTGGTAAATGCATTCTTTCACACTTTAAAGACATAATTGTAAGCTTCAAAATCTTATACAGTTCAGCATGTGGGTGTACTTTTTTTAAAATGTGATTAAGCACAGCAGTGCATGATGTTCTGAACAGGGAAAATGTTCATATTCACATTTTTAAGATGTCTGAGTCCTTGTTCTTGCTTTTGCAGTTATAATGATCTAACATTATCTTGTGTATGTTTTTTTTTCTGTATCCGTAAAGGTTTTTGATTTTTACAAGTTTCTTGGCACAATTATTTCGAACAATCTTAAGTTGTATGTCGCAATGTTAAAACTGACATAAAAAGTGCAATAACATATGTTCTTTTTCAGACTGTGAAAGTTCACAAGGCTATTTTTTAAAATATTGCTACATACTTTGCAAAAAGTATCTTGAATCTCCTAATGCTCTAAACTTTGCATTACTGGTACATATATATTTCAAATAAATATATATTGCTTGAGGAAAACTATATAGCTTTGGTTAGTGCGTTCGGCTGTTAACCAAAAGGTTGGTGGTTCGAGCCCACCCAGGGACCCTGGTAGTCTTGGGGTGGAGCGGTGGCTCTGTGGTTGAGGATCTGCGCCTGTGGCTGGAAGGTTGCCGGTTTGAATCCTGCAGCCGGCAGAGGAATCCTACTCCATTGGGCTCCTGAGCAAGGCCCTTAACCCCAACTGCTCCAGGGGCACTGTACAATGGCAGAACCTGTGCTCTGACCCCAGGCTCTCTCCCTATCTGTGTGTCTCATGGAGAGCAAGCTGGGGTATGCAAAAAGATAATTCCTAATGCAAGAAATTGTAAAGGGTTAATGAAGTAATGTAATGTTAAATCATAGGCTGTGATTTACCCTCTCTTGCTTCAGTGTGTGGTAGTGTGCAAGAAGGCTCAGTTAATTATTGTTGATCACTTCTCATCCAGTTTATCTGTTCTGTGTTATAAATCAATTAAAACAATCACCATTCAATTCAAGGACCACACCATTCAAGGAACAGCTTGTGTCCTTCTGTTTCAGGAATTGTCATTTTTTATGTTTTATCTGAGGAAAAGTGCCGCATGCTTCATTTTGTAATTTTGGGAATTTTGACAGCCATTTTTCATTCTACATGGATGTAGTTGCTAGTTGTTTCTGAAAAGGTGCCTATGAATGAAATTTATTGCAGTGGTCCTGAGTGCAAGCCTGACAATTTTGAGCACAGAAACACAGGGGATGGGCTAACTGTGTGAGGACTGATATATGCAAGATGGAGCCAGGGCTGCTGCTTTAATAAAATAAAAGTGTGGCCTCAGGTAGTGGGGATTTTTACATTCAACTCTCGCCAGGAAAGCATGTTTCAAATGTAGTGCTAAATGATCTTGGGTTTCTTTCTGAATAATACACTTTATCTAGACCTAAGGAGCATTCTAGCCTTAATTTGTTTACCCATTCTGAGAACCAATGGAAACTTCTAGTTTCATTACTGAGAGGCTTCTTAATTGCTTAGTCAATGAAGGTACAGTAATTATTCAGAGGGCAGAGGAGTAGTCCAGGCAGTTTACAGTCCAGACATTGACAGGTTGAATCTAAGCTATGTCATTAGTCTCTGTTATAGAGATTCTCCAAGCAGTAACGTACAGTACATATGACAAAACAACACCAGTGCTCGGCAACATTAACTCTTGGGATTTGAATGTATGAGGAGCTGTTTGTGGGAGTTACAGTACATCGTTCCTCTAATCAATTTTTATATGTGTACTCTAGAACTTGTAGTGTGAAAATGCCAGAAAGCCCGTTCTATTAATAATAATCAAATGTACTGTATGCAATTAAATCTTTTTAAATTATTATTACATTTTATAAGTTCAGAAACACGTACATTAATTATTGAGCAGAAGCAATTGTAACAATATATTCTTAGGAAAATATTGCTATATTACATGTATATGTAAAAATATAAATATCAAGTAAATCACATAGAAACTGAGATAAGGGTTAAGTACCATGACGTTTATGTTTATCTACGTCCATTAGATTATGAAATTGTGGAATTTAATAGTATAGAAATTGACAAGTTTACTAGTCCTGTCTCAATGCACATACTATAATAATAACTCCCATCTACCACCACCAATGTGCAGGATCCACCTGATTAGTAAGGCCAATGGGAAATTTGGCCAGGATCCCGGGGTTACACCCCTACTCTTTTCGAGAAATGCCCTGGGATTTTTAATGACCACAGAGTCAGGACCTCGGTTTTACAGTATGTCTCATCCGAAGGACAGCACCTGTTTACAGTATAGTGTCCCCGTCTATACTGGAGCATTAGGACCCACATAGACCGCAGGGTGAGCACCCCCTGCTGGACCCACTAACAGCTCTTCCAGCAGCAACCTTAGTTTGTCCCAGGAGGTCTCCCATCCAGGTACTGGCCAGGCTCACACCGGCTTGGCTTCAGTGGGTTGCCAGTTGTGAGTTGCAGTGTGATATGGCTGCTTTTTTTCAGAATACTGTAGATGTTTTAAAATGCTATTTCATCATGTACTATATGTCATGCATCCAAAATATTTTACTTATTCAAAGAAGATGACCAGGATATTTAGCATATCCAGGAATCACTTTGCCATGGAAACAAGTCAATGTGGAACCCCACCCTGTGGGAACGAGCATGATGTAACCAGTCATTAGTGAACTAGACTCACAAAGTCTAGTTGCATAGTCTGCAGCTATAGGAATTACCCCAGGAAAAGAAAATGGAGAATGTGCATTTTCCTGGAAGTGTATTTACAGAGTACCTCAATAAAAATCTAAAACACACAAAAGGATTTACTGAAAGCCATTTAAATGTTACTCTCTTAATGACTTTTTGCCCAGTATCAATAATAATTTATACCGGAACATATTGATTACATATTTATCAAATATATCTTCAATGTAACAGAAAAAATATGATTAGATAAACGATTAAAAAGTTAAAAATATGTTTTCCTATATTTTATGTTATGTTTGTAGCATTTTGTTGCAAGAAAACCAGGACCAACTGAATTACATTTCATTGAACCAAACATGACTTCATGAAAGTGAAAATATAAATATTCAAATATTAAATAAATGTTAATAAATGTAGGTCCTCTTTTTTTAACCGATTATTACTTTATGAAAGATTATGAATTGTTTTGTTTTTTTTCTTGCAGGGTGCAGATTGAATTCTACGTAAATGAAAACACATTCAAAGAGAGACTTAAACTATTTTTCATCAAAAATCAAAGATCAAGTAAGTGTTGGAACACAAGATTAAAAACAAAAATGTGGATTTTGTTAAGAAAAAAATATGAATATGTTGTGACACAAAAAGACAAAAAATAATTGCCTTCTTGCATAAACTATTGTCTCTTATGTAATGATCATAAACGTATGTTAAATTATAATCATAATACAAGAAACATAAAAATAGTGAATGTTTTTTTAAACAAAACAATATTGCTAAAACAAGATATATGATCTCATAGTCTAAATTAGTTATGTAGTCTTACATTGTTATGTATTTTCTTTTTTCTAGGCCTTAGAATCCGGTTATTTCACTTTTCTCTCAAGCTACTAAGCTGCTTTTTGTACATATGCCGTGTCTTACTGGACGACCCCACAGAAGGAAATGGATGGTAAATTAATTTCTTATTTTTCTACAAAAACAATTAGAAAAAGTACTACTACTGTACCATATGCAAAGCAAGTCTATTCTTTAAGTGATAAAAGTAAGACTCGCTTAGCCTACATTACACACAGTAACTCCAATGAATGTTTTAAATGTGAACAGAGCTTATTGTTCCATAGCAGGTGAACAGTTTCTGACATATTGAACAATAAAAGCACATGGAAATTGTTACTGCATCTAGTATAATTCATGACAGAATCTTAAAACTTTTCTCTGTAGTTCCTAATGGAGAAAACTAAACTATAGTTAGTATATTAGTGAAGTACTGTATACAGTGTCCTACTGGTAAATGGGCTATATAGTTGTAAGTATAGATGCTCAGACCCCTAGAATCCTATATGAAATTGCTAAGTTTAAAATTAAACATGTAATTTCTAAAAATGAAATATTTCTTTAAAAAGGTGAAAGATTCACAAAAAAGCTAAGCCAGGTAATTGACTTTTCTTCACATGTTCATTTTTTCTAGCATGGGAGACTGTGGACGGTACACTGATGTACTGTAAGATATATATTAGTAATAATATATTAGGTGGAATTATTTAAAGGAACTTAAAGGAACTGCAGGATAAATTAATTTTATAGGATGTGTAATCTCAAATTAATTTGACATAAGAGACTGTCTTAATTAATTTCATTTTAAATATTGTATCCTCTGCATTAAATTACATTATTTTGAACAATTTCATAAAAATATGCACATGGACCTTAAAAATTACTTAGTGATCTTGTGAATAGATCAATTATTTTCAGCATAGGCAGTATTTAGTAATTGTTTCAGGGTAAGTCAAGAATATTGTAAGTAAGATGTAATGAATAACAATTAAAAGAATAGTGCATGTTTAAATAACTATGAATGAAGTAAAGGCAATTGTTTTAAAATTTAAGTTACAATAACTACTATATATAAAGTAATGAAAATCTTCCATTTTAATCATATTGTCTAAGGCACTGTTGGTTATTGGTTGCATCTTTATACAAAGAACCCCTTAGAGGCAAGAAAATACAGTAGCAAATACAGGGGAACTTAATTTAAATTAATTGAAATTTCATAGTACAAAACATTTTAGTGACCAAATTCCTTTTTAAACAGAGGGGTGGGTGTAGTCCATTAACTTTTAAATGTGAACACATTTTAAAGGGGTTTCTCATGGAAGGTAACTGGAATAATAATTTTTCAATAAAGGGAAATAAAGCCTCTTTTCATGTTTTTTTTTTCAAGCTGGGGGTGTTCCAATCAGACCTATACATTATTAGGCATTGATTGGTAAGTAGCAATGTTATTAGTGATTTTTTCTCAAGAGTTGTTGAGTGTGGGTGTTTCCATTCTTCATTTCTGACAACGTCCACAAACAAAACTTTTAGAAAAGGGGTAGGTTACAAACTGTCTCGTTAAAATGAATGAAGAATAAATGTCTTTAGATAATGATTGTGTAATTATTGTTAAACAACAAGCACAAGGAAGAGACATGAGCACGTGTATAGCTAAAGGTTTGACTTTGTGGACTATGCAGAGCAAAAAAATATATACTATTTTTGAGAATGCTAAGTTTAAGAATTACAGGACTCTGTCCATTTAATATTCTCTAATAGGTGCTTTACAAGTTGTGGTATAACATGCTAGTACTTACTAGTCTTAACATCTCAAAACTGGAAATGTATGTCTCAGGTCTCCGATCATTTGGGTAAGAAGAAGTCTTCCTCTATGGGGATTACAGGTGAGCTAGCAGTGCACTTTTCTTTGGGGTTTCGGAAAGATATACAGTAAAAGCAAAGAAAGTAAACATTTACTGTATATGACAAACATTTAAAAGCCAAGGGATGAGAACCCTTTAATAAGTTTTTCCATCTAGAAAATAGCATATAGTATGTGGAAGTAACAGAAATCTATGACTCTGAAAATCATGTTTCTTGCTTGAATTTCTTTTAGTTTTCTAGGTGAAAAACTAAATCCGAAATAAGAGAAGTTCTACCGTCTAACACAATGTTCTATTTTGAAGCTGCTCTTTACTTTCCTTCCCATAGAAAATTTAGAATATTTACTGACTCCTTGTTTAGCTTATGGTTGTATTAGTTGGATGCAAGATGAATAATGTATTAAATAACTGGCATTCATTCAGTGTTTTAATGCACATTACCACTGTTAGCTTTATTCATCTTTTATATATTCTCTATACATAGGTTGCAGTAGCCTTGATAAGTCTCTTTGAAACAATGCTGTTGACTTATCTCAGTTACAAGGTAAGTCCAATGTTAGTCTATAGGTTGTCTTGGAAACTATGTGCTTCTATAAGCTTTGTACATCTCCTTATCAGTATTGGTCACAATGTAAAGGTCATGCAATGTTAAATAAAATAAATTTATTTTACCGTATCATGGCACATTCTAGTAGGGTTTATTTCTAGAATAGTGGACCTGTAGTTACATTTCCTATTGAATAGAGTAGCTTGAATATGTTGTATATACAGTTGCTGGCTTTCTAACAGAGCATGTTGATATATATGTTGATATATACAGTAAACATCAATCATTGACTCACTAAGATAGCCTACAGCCAAACAATCAAATAACATTTCTGATTTCTCACAAACTTAATAGAATTCAATGACATTTTAGAAATTGAAATTAGACCTGCTGTTTTTACACACTTGTCATTAACGATTGAAAGAGCGTTACACAAGTATTCTAATTATACATTTTCTTACAAGGTCTATGATAAATGAGGCCTGCACTGTTAAGTTATTAATGCATTTTTGGGATGCATTGTTAAGTCACACAAAAATATCTGTCTGGTCTTTGAGCATGTTTAATTGCTAACATCTTTATTTTTTTAAGTATAATACTATATAAATGTTAGACATTATAACTTTTTAAACAAGCTGCCTCAATATAATTCAAATGTACATTAAAACTGTTAATGTTGGTGCAAAAATTAAAAGATTAAAACTAAAAAAGTGAAAGCTGCTGAACTTTCTTTTAATTTGTTTGTGGAAACGGGTGTCATTGTGTCAAAATTCTGCCTTAACAACATGCAGACAACATATTTCTCTGCTTCTGATAATATGCTGTGTCGTAATGTAGAAGTATTTAAGACAATGTAAACCCAAAACTTAGAATAGCAGTCACTTTGTGTTACACATCAAGTCTGAGATAGTTCTGAATGATACGAAACCTCAGACATACCTCAGACATAAATGTGTTATGAGAAAACTAAATACAGTTGTGAGAAACAGTTTGTGATTTGGATTTCTGCATGAATGGCTCCTAAAATGTGATGTGATCTTCATCTAAGTCATAATAACACACACCATTTTACATTGTCTTATCAAACTTTTTTGAGCAAGTACCACCCCTGATCAAACCAAAGCATCCAAGTACCACCTACAGTACAAGTCATTTTCTCATAGAAACCACAGAAAATCTCAATGAGATTATATACAGTAGTACATCTCTGTTTGGAAATCCAGATAATTCCTAAGGGCTCAAAAACTTCTTACAATGGTAGGCCCACAATATTTGGTGGTGCTCATTTTAATGCACCAGTACTACAGTATGTCTGTCTGTCAATCACTTACTTAAACTGCTTCTTTTTTTAACTAGGGCAATATCTGGGACCAAATACTCCGGGTACCTTTCATTCTGGAGATGATTAATACAGTACCATTCTTTATTACGGTAAGGTATCCTCTAATTGGGTACACGGGGACTCTTTAGGTTTAATACACGAAATCGTATGTGGTCTATATAATGATACAAATCACTAGTGACACAGAGAGTTTGAACATAGTGTATCTACTGTATCTTTGCATTGATTTTGCTCTTTCCAATATACAGCATATTTAAATCCTGTCAGTACTCTTGCATTAATAAGTATAATCTAAGTAAAGCATTTTGGTAAAAAAGGTGAGAACAAGAAATAATATTTCACTTATTGCCTGATCTGGATTTTAAAATAAGAAAGGCTTTGAAGATTGATCTCTTGCACCTTAAGAGGCTCTGTAAAATAGCTTTTGCAATATCACTGCAGCCTTTCAAAATAGTGTACACATTGTAAAAATGCCTGTGTTTCAGATCTTTTGGATTCCCTTGAGAAACCTCTTCATTCCCGTGTTTCTTAACTGCTGGCTAGCTAAGCATGCCCTGGAAAACATGATTGTGAGTACAAATTAATTTGTAATTTCTGATTAAAATATCTTCAGACTTTTACTTACTTTACTGTAATTCTCAGAATAGTTTTACATAGGGATACTATGGTTTTACTGTACCTTCTCAGTCACAAACTAAGATATTCAATTTCACAGAAAATATACTGTAGGAGTGACTTAGAACTCCCTAGAACCGCTCAGGATCAAGGTCCAGTCCAGTCCAGTACTAGTCCCATAACGCCAGTGTGTTGGCAGTTGTTCAAAGAGCTGGGAGAAACTGTTTATTCTGTTCAGTTAAGATATTAACCACATGGCCTAGTTTGTTAAGAGCTGCGTGGAAATGAAACCTTATGACTAGCCCTCCTGGACCAGCACTGGATACAATCCTATTTTAGATAAAATGCGAAAAAGCAGAAACATATTCATAGTTGTTGAGATATATGAACATACAATCAGCTCAGTACCTAGTTACCTGTGTGATAATTAATAATTAACATCAACTGGACAGTGAGAAAGATATTTTTAAATTTACCTCAAGAAATCACTAATCCTGTGTGTCTGGAATTTGCCTCATTCACCCTCATCTCTACTGCCTTTTCTGGTTTTATCCGACAAATAAGGGAACAATACGTTACTCAGAAGCCCAGGGTAATGTTAAAATTGAGCTCAGATAACATATAGTAGAATGTAGTACTGAACAGTCTAATGCTTTGAATAGTATGAAATGATTCATGATTGGTGATTTTTATACTATGAATATTATGAAATAGTATCAAATGAAAAGTTATGAAATGAATAGTATAAAATGATTCACAATTGAAATGTACTGTAATTGGTGGCAGAAATATTTGACAGAGGCTAACAGTCTATCCACCTTCAATAATGAAATCAGAATGATATCTTTACAACAGTTGTGGTTGTTTTGAAAGAGAGTAGAGATGCTTAGTTGAGCAGCCACGCACAGAAGAAAAGTCTCAGATGAATGTTCTAAAGGGGAAAACCATGCACAGGTGCTGGAGAATCTCACACACCACAGCAAATCCTGAAGAGATAATTACAGAGTTACTGCCTGTGCCTGGTACCATCCTCAGACAATAACCTACTGTAGGTTAAGATCTTAAAAATATGAGTGCTACAAGTGCTACAAAAGACAAAGTTGTTACATTTGGTGAGCAATACAGCATAATTCAGTTTTTGACTTACTTTGAGATTTCTGCTGCCAAATAACTAATTTGTTTCTTTGAAAATGTTCTATTTGAGCATGTGAATTTGCAATAAAAACCTGATTGGAAAAAGATGTGTATCATTTGTAATCCAGCTGAAAACATTTTAAGTGTCTGAATACTTTTGCATAGCACTGTACATAAAGTATATACTGTACACAGAAGTATAGAATAACTGATAGACAGGTGATAGTTGATAAAAAGTCCACATCACTTATAACCCAACAAATGTAATTGATCTTATGTGCAACACAGTAAGATACAGCAGTAGAATTTGTATTTTTGTTGATTTCTTTAAGAAATATGGCAAATTCTGTAAATTATAATACATACTGTACTGTACATGGCCTATGGGTGAATGTACAAATAGGAGTGCTTTTTGAAATTCCCAGTGTTAGGGCAATTAAAATGTATTTGTTAACACTGTCCCAAAGGAATTATTTCATATTTGTTTTACTAGGTAAAATCCCATAGGTTTTAAAGAAGAATTTATGTAGAGAACAATTCTACATTTTATTGAGAATGAAACTTACTCTTAGAAGGGTAGAAATCTAAACTACTAAGATGTAACTATATACTGTAAAAATAATTGTTACATCTAGTCTTGATATCTGTGGTGTGACTGTACTATTTTCCACATCTTTTCAGACATATTTAATGGACAGAGGGAAGTAAAGTAGGTCTAAACCCTTGCCAAATTTCCTATGAACAGGGGTTAATGCAGATAGCGTTACCATTAATTGCCTTTAGTTTCCTCTACCAAATATGGCCCACTCAGTGTGCATCATTATCTTCACAGCCAAATGTGCTCATAAACTATGATTATCTTTTTAATTTTCCAGTTGTCTCATCTGTGCACATATAGAAGACATCTCTCCAATTTTAATTTCAAAACAATCAGAGAATTAGATCTCTGTCAATATAGAATTCATTTTAGACCTCTGTTTTCTTGACTAAATATTAATGATGCAATATTGCTGTAGTATTAGCAAGGTTTTGGTGTTCAAACAGTAAATCAATTAGAAAATAAAACAAGACTGCTGAATTTGAATGCTACAGTACAATTTTAATGTGCAAATTGTTGTAGTTGTTAGAATATGTTTTGGTCATAACTACTGCTACTGTATGTACAGTATTAATAAGTAACCAGTTCAGTAAGCTAAATTATAAATCTTCAGGATGATGTACTGTAGCTGAGGGGACTGGTTACAAGAGAGGAAATAGCATGAACAGGAATTTAGAACAGCTTCCATTTTGAGGGAAATGCTATCTAAACCATCTCCAAAATAATTCAAAATTAAAAGGTTGAATCATGTTAACCTCAGAAGTATTCCAACTTTTGTTGCGTTGTAACACATTGTTTTTGTTTATTCAGAATGATCTTCACAGAGCCATTCAACGAACACAATCTGCTATGTTTAATCAGGTCCTTATACTGATATCTACACTGCTGTGTCTCATCTTCACCTGGTGAGTTTTTTTCTTACAGTGTTAAATCTGAGAAATATTATATTGTAAATAAATTGCTGCCACTTTCATCACAAACCGGTAATGCTGGAACAACACAAATTTAATTACAGTTCTTACTATTAGATTGCAACAGTACAGTATATCACATCTTTTCAGACTAATTTAATGGATAGAGGGAGGCAAAGTTGTTTTATACCCTTGCTGAATTTCCTACATAGAGGAGTAAATAGAGATTACATTACCGTTAATTGTCTTCAGTTTCCTTTTCTGAATGTGGCCCACTCAATGTGCATCATTTTCTTACAAATGTGCTCATAAACTATGATTATCTTTTCCATTTTACGTTTTATCATTTGTTTTTGCTTAAATACAGCCACAGACACTAACTCTCTACCAAACCTTTTAATTTTGGCCCAAATTTTTGTAAGAAAGCTACTCCAATGTATATTCAGACAAGGAAACAAAATTAAAAAGAAACTAAAGCTATATTTAAAAAAAAACGATTAAATAAAACTTTAAAGTACTGTATACCCAGTATACTAACAAATAAAAAAGAGAAAAAATAAATTGTTGAAATTATAATACAAAATTTAGAATGTGTCTTTGTTTTCTATAAAATTGCAAAACCACTTTTTTTTGGTACTGTACCTGATGGAAAAAGTCACTCACTTCTTAAAAATGAACTCCTGTGAAGTACAGTAGATCTAAACATAGACTGCAAAGGACTGTGTATATGGTTCTCCCTCACAGATGAGAAAACACCATTAGATTTGTACCTTTCCTCTGCAGGATACAGTCAGAAGACTTGCTTACATTACAGTGTGTGTTAAACTCCCTGCTGCTAGTGAAAATAGAGTTCCATTAGATATTCTTTCCCGCTGCGTTTCTTTTGCTGCAACCTTTCTAGAAAGATGGCCCTCTGGCTCATGAAACTATATTTTAATCAATAAAAATGTTTGAACATAGAAAATTGTGAACAACAGATACAGGCCTTGCATTGTGTATTTTAAGCATTCACTGTGACTGCTAATGTCTGATAGATTATTACAATCAAAGTGCAAGAGTAAATTTAAGCTCTAATTATCTTAGTGAAATATATGGAATATCCTCTGAAAGATGAGATTGTCACACCATATGACGAGACAGAAATAAAATTATTTCTGTATTCAGTGGTGATTATTACAGTAAGTAAACCCATGAAAAGGACTTTCTTATTAATGTGTATTTATTGTATAATGATACTGTTACTTACATATTGTACAAAAGACTACAGGGTAGTCAATGATAAAAAACAAAACTATTTTGCTTCCCCAGGCTAGAGTTTAAAACCAATTATATTACAGACCTTCTGTGTATTTGAGGTTATAGTTTATTGAATTAGATGAAAAGGTAATAGCAGTATTTAAAGTTAATTAAGGGAAATTGTAAAGGTTTATGACATTAAGATCGTGTCTAAGTCAAGAAAAAAAAGATAAGCAAGGAAACAAATGTATATGGCTACACAAAGCAAAATAAAATTTTAATATTGTCACTAGGGATTACTAAGGAGGGAATAGCAGTTAATTAAGACTTTTTACCCTAGGAATAAAAATAACCATGACTAAACAACATTTACGCTTTCCATGGAATACAACTGAGGTCAGATACGTATACTGTACATCTTTAGCAGATGACCCATTGTAGTGTGCTTAGGCAAAACCTATTCAACTGCAAAATGTTATTCTGCCTGGCAGCCATTTTTAAACTTCTTTAAGAGCTTGCAGCTTGACCCAGACATGTGAAAGACCTTGAAATCTGTGGCTTCCCTCTTCTGTCCTTTCACTACTTTTTTTTCTCTTTCCTTTGCTTATCTCCGCAAAATCTCTGTTTTTCTTTTTGCTTCTCAATTATTCCCACTTTTATATTATTGTTGGATTTACAGTTTGTTTAGGTAGTCTTTCATGCCATGATTGGTCACTTTTGCTCATTATTGTATATAATAACATGTAATATTCTTTGTTTTCCCTAAAAAAACTATAAACAAATTGAGCATAAATTCTATTTATTATTTACCCATCAGATCTGTTTTACATTTTTAACAATTGATAATGCTGCACAGGAATAATAATTATAATAATTATAATAATAATAATAATAATAATAATAATAATTGCTTACATTTATATAGCGCTTTTCTGGACACTCCACTCAAAGCGGAGTGTCCTCTTTATAGATAACGATTTTTTACATTACACTTTACAGGAC